CTGGCTTACGCCCTTCCCAATTTTGAACCATGCAGTGTTCCCTTGCTCTGTTCTGACGACTGCCTCCTGGTCCAAGTATAGGTTTCGCATTAGCACGATCAAGTGTCACGGGATTCCCATTCTTCTCAGAGTCAGCCACAGTTTGTTATGGGGTGAGATAATACCTCATAGTTGTTTGATTTGCATCTATCTGATTACTAGGGATTCTGAACATTTCTTCATGTGTGTGTTTGCCATCTGACTGTCCTCTTTGGTGAAGTGCCTGTTCATATCCTGTGCCCATTTCTTGACTGGGTTGTTTCCCTTTCTCTTGTTGAGGTGTTGGAATTTTTTTAATACAGTTTGATACATTTTATATACAGGTCCCTTATCAGATATGTGATTGCCAGATATTTTTTCCCCAGTCTGTGGACTTCATTTTTAACCTGTTGGAGAAGTTTTGGGGTTTTTTTGAGGTGTTTTTGTTGCCCCGCCCCTGGAGTTTTTTTGATGTGCATTCACTAGTGTTTTTGAAACTGGCGGTAGAGACTTTTTTAGGTCGTGGATGTAGAATGAAGGCTAAAACAGCAGTTGCTCCATAGTTAGGTTACTATGTTGGGAAGCAAAACTGCTGCGTACTCACAGGTGTGTAGGTCGTGGCTGTAGAATGAAGACGAGAACAGCAATTGTTCCACAGTTTGGTGAATGTTGGGAAGCAAAACGCTGCGAGCCCACAGGTGTGCAGACTGGGCCCTGGAGGTTTGCATACGCCTCGCTCCTCCCCGCATGTCTCACCTGCCGGATGGGGCTGCTCCAAACGCGTCACCAGTTCCAGTCGTGCGCACACCGCGGCACATCCCTGCCGGCGTTTTCGCGTTCGCTAAGTTTGTCCTCAGCGCCGCGCCGTCGCCCCGCCCTCTCCGCTGCAATGGCGGCAGCTCCGCCGCTCTCCAAGGCTGAGTATCTGAAGCGCTACTTGTCCGGAGCAGATGCGGCCCTCGGCGGGGGCCCCGAAGCCGGCCGCAAGCGTCGCAAAAAACGGCCGAAGCCTGGCGGGGCTGGCGGCAAGGGGTGAGTCTTCGGCCGGGGCAGGACCTGTGGCATCCCGCCGCCCAACTGACCCTGCGTCTCGGGGCCTCGGCGCCGCTCTCCCCTCGGCTGCGCCGGTTCCCTCTTCTCTGCTCACTCAACTTCTCCCGAAGCTCGGGCTCCTCTGGGGCACTTTGAGCACTCTTTCTCCGCCTTCGTGCCTTCTGACCTCTCTATGTTGTTGTTAGGTGCCGTCGAGTCGACTGCAACCCCTAGCCACCCTGTGTACAACAGCTCTGAACCTTTCTCTGTCCTGTGCCAACCTCATCGTCTCCGACACAGCTACCCCCATTACCCCACTCACTGAGTCAACCCATCTCATCCAGGGTCTTCCCCTCCTGCGCTTTCGCTCCACCCTCCCAAGCATGATGTCCTTCTCCAAGGACTGGTCCCTCCTGGCCACGTACCCAAAGTATGTCAGACAGGGCTCCCAAATTCCTTGCCTCCCAAGGAGCAGCCTGGTTGCACCCTTTCTAGGACGAACCCCTTTGATACTCTTGTCAGCACATGGTATATTCAATACTCCTCTCCGCACCACAACTCAGAGGCACAGTGAAGCTAACTCAGTGCCTTGGGGTTTGGAATTTTAGGATCCTGAGTTGGAGTCGCCTGGTCACAGCTGTTAATAATGTTATTACAATACTTGTACAATTCTTACTTGATATCAAGCACTATTTTAAGTACTTTAGATATAAATGGAATTATTTGAGTTTCACAACAAAGTAGTTTCATAAAGTAGGTATTGTTTTTACCATTTTACAAACAAGGAAACTTTTGTAACCCCGTGAAGTTAAAGAGTTTCAGGAAATTAGTTTATTGTCTTTCCTGGTTTGGATCTAATTCCGCCCCCCCTCCCCCCTTATTCTCTGCTTTCCTTTCCCTCTCAATTGGGTGCATTCTGTGATGGTGGTCCAATGTAGTGAACTAGCTTAGCTTTGCAGCAAGATTGTTCGGTTTGGATCTTAACCTACGCAGCTTTGTGGGCTTGGGCGAGGTACTGAATCTGTTTTTTGTCTACGTTATTTTCATCTTGCAAACAGGAATATACTAATAATACTAAATGTTGTTAGGTGCCCTCGAGTTAGGTATTACTCACAGTGACCCTGTGAACAATGGATCTGAATGCTGCCCTATCCCGTGCCATCCTCAACATCTCTGCCACACTTGAGCCCATGGGTACAGTCACTGGATTAACTCATCTCGTTGAGAATCTTCCTCTCTTTCACTGACTCTCCACCTTTCCCAGTATTATGTTCCTTTCCAAGGACTGGCCCATTCCTAACAAGATGCCAAACATGTGAGATGAAGTTTCACCATCCTTTCCTCCAAGGAGCACTCTGGCTGCACCCTCTCCAGGGTATGCTTGTTTATTCTCTCCATATCTGTTTTTTTGTGGCAGTCCATGACATATGTGGTACTCTTCTCCCACACCATAATGGAAAGACATCGATTCTTCTTCTGTCATGATAGTGCTTATATGCAGTGGTATTAGGATTTTAAGAAAAACACAAACCAGCTGCGATGGAGCTGATTCCAACCCATGGTGTCCCTGTTTGTGACAAAGTAGAGAACTGTACCCTACAGAGTTTTCGGTGGCTGCTTTTTTAGAAGTAGATCACCAGGCCTTCTGAGGTACCTTTGGGTGTACTACAGTGACTCAGCCTTCCAAACTCCCAGTTTGCTACTTACCTCCAAAGTACTCTATTGCCGGTATGTAAAAGTTCCTCTTGTTTGTTGTTGTTGTTGTT